CTTATATTCTCAAAATCAAGATTATTTCTCCCAAATTCTTTATCAAATCCTGAGTCAAATTTTGATTTCGATAATTTATTCTACTAGAATTAAGAGTTGGTTGTCACGGAGACATATCCTAAAGGTATCTCTCGGCTAATGATAGACCCTAATTATTTTGTTAATGGTAGACCCTGATTATTTCGTTGTATGGACGACCTAACCCCATTCATATTGTTCCTTCCCAAATTCATAAATTATTTATTTTTCGTTCTCATGTTCATATGAAGTCCTATATAAGTAGTCACCAGACTACTTACTATTTGCACATAAACATCCCCTGACTACCATGAGTACTTGGGATATTATGTTCGATTATGTTTCCTTGGACAATGGAAATGTTGTGTTCGGTTGTTGGGGTTATAACAAAGCTTTTGGCCCTCCATTATGTGGATTTGGATTAGTTGTACCAGACATAATTACCGAATTAAGTGTAGGACTTTGTGTACTTGGACTTGACATGATTATTCTACCACTTCTTAGTCTCATACATTGTGACAAACAGTCTCTAGAACTAATCACCTCGAGTGTACATAAATCACACTTAATCTCATCGGGTGTGTCCACTTGTTTCTAGTGAAAAATGCTTCAATATGAATCACGAGTCACTTGTTAATTCTTTTTATTTAGACTAGTAAATAACAATTTTTCAATTTAGACCATGTTTTAATTCACCTAATAATATAAGAACATCGACCGATATCTTAATAATTAATATGAAGTCAACCTTTATAATGGATCTTTCGTATATTAATTTAATAAAGATATTGATAAAAGTGTCTTGATTGTAAATTTGGATTTTAAGTATTAATTCAAATATTACTTGATTACTAATTTGTTGAAATAAGAACACAGTTTCTAGAAATAAAGGACGAAAATTAAAGAAGAAATTCTTAAAAATGCAGAAATATAAATTATTGAAAAAAGTAAACTATTGGAAACATAAATTGCTAGTAAATGTAAATTACCAAGGATAAAATAGAAATTGATCAAGAAATCAATAAAAGTGATTACCCAAATTGCCAAGAACTCCATGGAAAAACTTTTCTCTTATTCACAATGTTTTTTAGAATACAAGTTTTTTACTACAATGTGTCACCCCTTTTTCCCTTTTCAAGTAGTCCATTAGTATACGTGGTGTTATAAGTGTTTCTATCAAATCATGAAGTTACAACCACTTTGCCTTTCCCTTGATTTTATAACTTCCTTTCGCTATCTCCATTGTCTTCCTTGATTCTTTGGTTTTACTTTATCCTTTGATTCTTTGATTTTCTTTTCTTTCGATGCTCTTAATCTTCCTCTATTCGATATCTTATTTTTCTATTACCTTTAATATTTAATCTGTTCGATCCTCTTCTATTTTTAATGATTTTAGTTCCTAATTTCAACTTTGATATTTTCTTAACTCATTCTTTTGAATCATTTGTAAATTTTATATAACAGAAGGATTGAATTATTTTAGGGTTGATTTTTAGAAAGCATATGACTCAGTAAACTGAAGTTTTTGTTATACATGTTGAGAAGACTTGCTATTTGTGAAAGGTGGATTGTATGAATTTGTCGATGCCTAAAGTCAAACACAATTTCTATCCTTGTGAATTGAACTCTGACTAATAAAAGTTTTATGAATGTAGGGTTGAGACAAGGGAATCTTTTGGCACCATTCCTTTTTACGGTAGTAAAGGAAGGGAAGTTGTAAGAAGGAAAATGCATTCTTAATTTAATGTGGAAAGAAAAAGGTACAAGTTAGAATTTTACAATATGTAGATGACACAATTATTTTTAGATGCTAGAAAATAAAATGTGGAAGTAATTAGGAATGTTATGAGAAATTTTGAGTTGGTATCAAGACATAAAGTAAGTTTTTTTAAGAGCGGCTTTGGAGGTTTGATCTAGATGGAAAAACAATAGATGAACATCAACATTGTGCTTGTTAATCTCAATCTTGTCATCTCTCCCTTTATTTTATGTGTATTTCTTTGAAATGTCGCAAATGGTAGTAAAGAGTGTTGGGTATTTTTGATGAAGTTAATAATAGGGAGATTATCAATAATGAGATACAAGTCAACCATATAAGAGAATATGACACCACCTTCAACCAAAAATCAATATTAGGTTATGGGTCTTTCTCACTTATAAGTTACTCGACTTTCCCATTTCTACCCAATATGAGATTTCAAACTCACTTGAATTCTCCCCCATAAGTGTGATTCCTTTTCACGTTGGCACATCATCCCATCAAGCAGAGTAGTAGCCAAAAATTTGTATCCATTTTTCAAGATATTATGCATGGGTTCGTCAAATTCCATTGTGTCTTCCACAATGGAATCTGATAAGTGAGATTTTGGGTCATCTTTTAATCGTGAGTATCTACTAGTGACCTTATACCGTCGTTTAACTCAACATGACTCACTTGCATGAAACTCTTGTCGGGAGTAGTGTTATTAGAATCAATGGTTTGTATGGTGACCGATAGTTCAAGAATGCACCTTGTATCGAAAATCCTCCTAATGGTGGGTCAAACAAGCATGTCTCATTGTGATGAACGACGATACATTTAAGGATTACTAGTGAGCTTGAGGGTGATGTACCAATTTGAAGGGAAATCACACTTGAGGGGGAGATTGTTGAGAATTCAAGTGTGACTTTGAAGTCTCACATTAGGTAGAAATGAGAAAGTTGAATAACTTATTAGTAAGAAAAATCCATAACCTAATGTCATATAAGGTTTTGAGTTAAGGGTGGTGTCAATCCCTTACGTGGATTAGACTCATATCTCATTGATGTTGTCTCTCCCCGTGACCATTGAAAGACCTAATAAAGAGGTTGTCAGGAATTCATAGTATATTCTTATGGGGTGTAACGAAGATCAAAGAATGATTCATTGGGTAGCATGGAAAAAATATGTTGTTACAATGAGGATGACGAACTTAGGGTGAAGGATCTAATAACCTTCAATAAAGTGCTTTTGGAAAAGTGGAGATGGTTATTACATTTGGAATTGTAGAGGCTAAATATGGTGGTTGAAGATAGGGAAAAACAACACAATGATCTAAAATACCAAATTATGTAGCGGAAATAATTTCCCTAAACTTGCAAGAATCTGTGAGGAGCAACAACAACAAATAATGACAGAAATAATCACAACAGAGACCATCAATATTTTTTAGCTTGGGAAAATATCTTCAATATGAGAAGTAAAAACTCACAGGCACAAGTCAGTCAATCAAGTTCCACTAAAATAAAAAATATGAGTACAAGAGAGTCAAATCAAAATGCACAAATAAATAAGTTTCTACAAAACCGTCAATATATCAAAGTAACTGTACTCTCAATTTTGAAGAACAAAGAAAAAACCTAAAAACCTCCCACAATGCAAGACTAATATCTCCAATCACACACCTCCAATCGACGATCCCAATGGTCAAAATGAGGACCCTTACGTCGCGAACCTATTGTCAAAATTTTAGCCTGATCCAGTTAACTAAGCGAAAATCGTAATTTTACAGAATCGGCTCGGTAAATAAGTAAAATTGTTTCTTTTCTTTCCTTTTTTTTTTTTCAAAAGGGTTGCAAAATGCTCTCTCTATTCTCTCTTTATTCTTTGACCTATCAAACTCCTCTCAATAAGTGAGATAAAATGGACTCATTAATTTGAACTTTTAGACACGTAATTGAGAGCTTAACCGAATAAACTTGCCCGAGGGGATGAATGTCAATTGCAATGGTTTTGACAGAGGGATTTACAAAATGGTTGGGACGGCAGCAAAATAAATTTTTGGCGGGAAAGATGGATAAGCCAACAACTTTATATGCAAAAGTATAATAGATTGTACATGTAATCAGAAATCGGAAACCATTCATAACATGGGACAGTGGGGATTTGACAGATGGTACTAGAAGTTAACATGGACAAGAGAATTGTTTGTGCAGGAGAAGTTGGTTAATAATATTATGTCCGAAATGGAACATATACAAATTCAAAGAGCAGTAGACAAATGGATTATTTGGAATGAGTTATTGGATAATATTATGGCAGACATAGAACAGGTACAAATCCAAAGAGGGATCGAAGACAAGTGGATTTGAAAGAAGGAATCAAACTGAGGTTAAAATGTTAAATATGCTTATAATTTTATATATAAGCTCAAAATGGGAGAGAATCCGGAAAATTTGGGAAAGGAAGTCTGGAAACTAAAAATTCCATCTAACGTAGCTCTTTTCATGTGAAGGGTGTTCAAGGACAGGTCCACTGAAGATAATATTAGAAAAAGAGAGATGTTGAATGAAGAGATGGAGTTACTCTTCTTGTGCGGTGAATGAATCTCTAGATATACCATGTATCAAGGCTCAAGAAGTGTGGAAGGTATGTTATGGTTGGGTATACAAGTATAATCTACTGGATAATATATATATATATATATATATATATATATATATATATATATATATATATATATATATATATATATATATTATCAGATGAATAAAATGATTTAAATATTTATCCACGCTTATTATATAATTTATTTAATTTATGTTTTAATTTACTCTAATTTATATTATAATTAACTTTAATAGTAAAATATCAATATTTAATGTCAAACAAACAAACAATTTTTTTTAATAATTCAACGTAATATAATTAAGAAATTAAAACTTTAAAAAAATTATTGAATAATAAACTTTAAGTGAAAGTTAAGGATAAAAAAAACATTCAAAATAACAAGAATTTTTAATTTAATCTTAAACACCTGAATTAACACTTATTGCACTGAGAACAATATAAAGGTCAATTTTTGATATAGAACGAGCATTATATGCATCAAGATCAGTATTCAAAACAACACTATAATAAACACCATGGTCATGATCAATACACCCTAATAAGTTCAAGAATACGAAAATCAAAATCAATACATCAATTTAATTTCCAATTGATTGCTTACCTGCACCAATTACTACCCCATCACTTGTGCTGCTCCAACGAATGTGCTTGAACGTGTCAACCCGTCAAGTATCGTCAACCGAATTCTGATTCCAAATCGCATTGCTTGCAGTTGCCACCTCAAATTCAGTTCAGCCATTCTCGCACGCACTGCGCAGAATAATCAATTTCAATTCCACCGCACGGAACACAATTTGCATTGCATTGCGACCTCATGCTGGCTTTAAATTAAATTGAAGACACGATTCCACCAATTCAATTTCGAAAAAGCACCATGCATCAAATCAAATGATCAAATTCATCACATGAATGCTTGAATTAAATTTGGCATCAAGATACGTTTCACATGAATTGCACCGCGCGGATTGAAATTACTGCGCCGTTGAATGAAAACATACCGATTAACAAAACCTTCTTCATCGAATTTGCTTGCCAAGGAGCTGTTTCGTACAGCAAGGCCAACATCACCTCTTGTTACTCCATCAATCCGCTTCCGATTTCAATGATTGGATCAAAGAAAATCCTCACCATCGCTGGGTTGTTCTGTCGATTCAGCTGCTTGCAACGATTCAATGTTGATTGAATTTCTGCTTGAATCTATTCAAGGACCAAAAATTGAAACCAACTCTCAAGGATTGTGCTGCTTCACACTCTCTGCAATGCCTCGCGTTTAGGAACAAAAATTGAAACTATAATTGGAATCACCACACGTGAATCTCACACGCATATTGTAAAATCAACCGCGGATAACTTGCTTAAATATATCCAAAATCAATCGATGCTTCCCTAATTTTTTTCTAAAATGTTACGAAAATACCAATTTTTTTTATAATTAAATTATAAATTATTATTTCCCACATTTTTCATATAATAATTTAAGAAAAATAATAAGAAAATTTCAGTCAAAATTGATTTGATAAGAACATAGATCTTTTTGAACTTCTATTTACAAATTATAAAATTTACTTATACTATAAATATAAGAATAATAAATACATTTAATTAATTAATTAATTTCATCAAAAAATTATTAATTAGTCTTATAATTAAAAAAGTGTGTAAATAAAAAATATAAAAATAAATATGAAGACTCAATATAAAAATACAAAACCCTTAGTCTAACTTCAAAGTTCCTTCTTATTTATTTAATTTTTTATCATCATATTCATATATGCATATATTCTAACTTCAAACTCTTGAAGTTTTATGGAATGTGCAATGCATTGAGTTTCAATTGAAGGTTTTTACTAAAGTTTTCGTTGTTAATGGTATTCGTATGTGTATTCTGAAATTATACTCTTGGAGTCAACGACGGAGATATTAGAAATTACACCTTCAACCAACAGATATTTGTATTCGTCAATTACGATTAAAAATATATGTTTTAATTTAAATTACTTTCTCTATTGGTCAACTAATGATAATTTATTTAGTTTTTTATTTTTTTATTGTTGTACTTAGTCAGACTCATTTACTGGGTCAAGATGAACAATGAATGACTCTGACTTAGAATGGCTATCATGACTTTCACTCGGAGTTTGATGCGGACAGCTTCAAAATATGTCAATAAAGAAAAAATAATAATTACGGACAAATTTAGAAAATTAATTTAAAAGGATTAATATATATAAATATTTTGTTGGGTTAAAATATATTCTTTAATAAAAAGGAATTCATTTTTTTAGGATCATAACTCTGTTCCGCCGCGCCAAAGACCAATCTATTTTTAAAATTAATAATTATATTTAAAAATGTTTTATTATAATATTATTTTTATTATATATTTTATATATTTATATATCAAATTGTTATATTTTATTAATATAATTTAATGATACTTTTTTTTACTTTTATTTCAATTGACCAAAATATAAAAAAAGACACATATTTTAAAATATAAATGATATCATTTTTTAAAGTGACCTGGATCATGTCAAATCACGTCATATTATATAAAATTGAGTTAGATTAATCCTAATAATCTCTATTTTTCTTTTAATACTAGTCTAATCTTATTGTCATAATCTTTTAATTAGTGATTTCTATGTTCCTCAATATCATGTAAAATATAGAATATCTAAAACTTTTTATTCAATTTTCATTTTAGTGATACTAAAATGTTGAGTAAGTTTTATAATTTCAGATATAAAATTTGAAAAATAATTTATTATTATTATTTTCGTAGCTTGAAAGTTTTATTTTTATTTTTCTTAAAAAAAACTCAAAATTTATGATAAGATTTTGATGCATCCTCTCAAACAATATCTTATCTTAAAAATCTATATTAAGATACAACAGTAAATTGCTATTAATAGCCTCATTTATACGTTGAAAAGGAATTTTTTTTGTGTTGATCTTGTGCAACTAAGAAGGTGGTTGACAATACAAGACTGTTTTGTCATCTTCCGTTTTTTCTCTCGAGAAAATAAATATATTTCATCCACCGTTTTGTCTCCACTTAAATCAAATTTATTGATCTTTCTTAATAGTTAATTGACTTTTTATTTTTTCTGTCTTGAAACAGTGGCGTTATTATTTTAGTTATATAAACATAAATAATTGAGAAACTTGTGTCATAAATAATGTCATATATTTAATTTACAACCACCATTTTGTCTCTAATCAAAGCAGAAATTTATAAGTCGTAGAGGTGGATTGTTCCACACATTCTAGTGTCAAAATTCAGCAATCTAAATAATTATAGAATATCATAATATATTAGTCGTAGAGGTGGATTGATCTCATCATTCATTAATTTTAATATAATAATCTAAAAAATAAATATAAAATGAAAATTAAGTTTCTAATATTTTTTACCTTTGAATTTAGTTGATCCCATTTCAATTGAAGAACGATTCTACTTTAAGAATTAGAGATTTACTATTAATTTTCATCATTCAATTTGTATTAATATAAGATGTAAAATAATAATTTAATTTAATAATTAGATCACATTGATAAGGAAAAATAAGCTTATAATTTTTTTAAAAACTATTATTATTTTATAATACGATCTACTTAAATCTATTTAAATCACATATTAAACAGGTTGATCTAAATCAGATTTAATTCAATTTAGTTTATAAGTCTAACTTAATTTAATCTCGCATATTGAACCAACTCATCAACTGTTAGACAAATGACATCTAGAGGGGTGAATAAATGCACAAATTAAAATAGATGTCAAATTAAAAATTTATTTGTGAGTCAATAATTTGTTTGAACACAGATAAAACGGAAGCAATAATATAATCAGGAAAAGAGAAAGAGATAAGGGAAAGAGAAGAGCACACAATGATTTATACTGGTTCGGGTATAGCCAACTCTACATCCAGTTCTCAGTCAACTCTTAACACAAGAGTGACTCTCAATTCTCTATCTTTCAAATTCAGCTTACAAATTACAATCAACTCAGCAGAATAACCAGTAAAAAGTAAACTAATTAAAAAGACAATCACCTCCTTAGAAACCCACTAAGGATAATCACCTCCCTAGAATCCCACTAAGGATGAACACCTCCTCTGAACAAATCAAAAGATGAAAAACACCTCCTTAGAATCCCAATAAGGATGAACACCTCCCTAGAATCACACTAGGGATGAAAACCTCCTTTGAACAAATCAAAGGATGAAAACACCTCCTTAGAATCTCACTAAGGATGAACACCTCCCTAGAATCACACTAGGGATGAAAAGTACCTCCTTTGCCACCAATACACAAAGGATGAAGGTAATAAAAATAAGAATAGTCACACCTGGGTAATGGAGACAACAAATTGTAAAAGCCTGTAGAATGTCAATCTCCAAGAACAAGTGTGATTAACAATGAAAGTACAAAAGGAAGTAGAGAAGAGGGTTTTCTCAAAAGGTGTAAAATATCTCTATTGTCTTGCTCAGAATTCTTTCTCAAAACTGATTGAATGTAAATTGTATTTTCGAATTCTATAATTGTGTGTTTTTTATTTTTCATCAAAACTTAATTAAATAGAAAAATAGCATCGAGAAAATGGTCGTTGGATATTAATATTTTTGTGAATAAAAATCAGGATATATTAAAAAATATTTATTCTTCAAAACAGATATATTTTTCAAATTTGAATTAATTGATTATGATACCGAGTATAATCAATTATGACGGAGAAAATCCTTTTTCCATTTTTGATGCATCATAATTGATTATAACAGTGAAAAATATCATGTTATGAATTTTATCACACTTATGCTTTGGGGGCTTATGCATAATATTACTTCATCAACTTGTACCTTCATATCAAGTATTCTAAGACTTTATCTAGTCTTTAGGAAATATCTTGGGCTTGCTTGAATCATCATCTTTATCAAAAACATATATTGGGCATGTAGGGAAATGTTTCACATTTTCACCAACGTCTTAAATTCAGCTTGTCCTTAATTCATCTTGAATGGTGTTGACTTGAATGTAGTTGACTTGAATCATCATCAAAATCATCTCTTGGGAATGTAGGGACATTTCCATCAATCTCCCCCTCATTGCTTTCAATCTCCCCTTTTTGATGATGATCAAGGAAACACCTGAAATGAATTAAAATGTTTGACTCTATATAGCCAGCTCAAGATTAGCACAGATTTGTATCAAGTGTCAGAGTCTCTTAATCTCCCCCTGGATATATTAATAACAAGAGTCCCCCTAACTCATATGAGCAAAGACTTCTCTCAACTCCCCTTGTTTAATTTAGAGATAGGAAAGAATTTCACACATATTTTAATTCATAAAAAAATCTCCCCTTGTTTCACACAGATTAATATCATCAAAATATCTTCATGTTTAATTGATAATTATGAAAAATATTATAAGAAAAAAATCTCCCCCTGTTTCATACAGATTAATATTATCAAAATATTTCCCTGTTTCATCGATAATTATGAAAAATATTACAATAGAAATTGAGAACAAATTTGCACATATTAGTACATAAATCAAGGTAGAGAAGATAATGCATTACAAAGTGTCATAGAGAAGAATATCATATTAAGGAGACAATATCTAGGATACCCAAGACAAATGAAGAGAGAGAAAGATAGGGGAATAGAATGATTATATAGAGATAATGGAATGAAATGCAGTAGTTTCCCCCAATTGCAGTCTTCTTATTTAGGCAACTTTCAAAATTCAAATGCACTCATATTCCAGATTTCATATTTCAAATTCAAATTATAACAAATTTCAAATTTCAAATTCAAATTCCAACAAATTCCAAATTTCAAATTCAAATTTCTAATCCCAAATTTCAAATTCCAATTCAAATTCAATTTCAAAAATCTCAAACTGCAAAAATTTCAAATTTCAAAATCTCAAACTACAAAATTTCAAATTTCAAAAATCTCATACTGCAAATTTAAAAAAAAATCTCAAACTGCAAAATTTCAAATTTAAAAAATCTCAAATTGTAAAATTTCAAATTTCAAGAATCTCAAACTGCAAAATTTCAAACTTTAATAATTTCAAATTTTCATAAATTCAAACTTTCAACATAATTGATTATGACAACAAGAAAAAATTTCTAATTCTGATAATCAATTAGATGCTCAAACTATCATCTAGACATGTATAAATGATTTGTTCCTTTAGGCACCCATTCATATTTTCCATTAGATATGCCAAAATGTTTTATGTAACATCTATTTGATGTATGACCTATTTTCATGCAATAAAAACATGTTGGTTTTCTTTAAAAATGTCTAAATGAGTTTCGTAAAGTTTTTTAAACTGGTTTCACATCTGTTTTCCTTTACTCTTTCACAAAAATAGTTTTACGAGGTTCTAGATTTTCTTTGGGTTTGTAACCAAGTCCAGCTTTGCTAGAATTCTCTCTTTGATAACCTAATATAGAATCAAGATTTTCAGAAGATTTTGAAAACTTGCTTATTATTTTCTCTAACTTGAAAATCTCATTTTCCAAAAGATTACAATTTTCACAAGGTTTAGCAACTTCTTTATTTTTAGACAAAGTTTTAAATTTCTCAACATCTTTCTTTAAGCACTCATTTTCTTTTTCAAGAATACCAACAGTATTTTCTAATGCATTAAACTTTTTCCTAAGTGCATTGTATTTCTTAGATAACTTGGTAAAACCTTCATACATATCTTGATATTCTTTAAATAACTCATCATATTCATTTAAGGAATTTGTACTACTTACCTGTGATGAGACTTAATCATCACTTTTTGTTATCAAGCAAAGATTTGTTTCTTCTTCTCCATCACTGCTTTTGGAAGAACTCTCTTGTGTTGTGGAAGAATCATTATCCTCCCAAGCAATATAAGCTTTGTGTTTGCTCTTATAGGTATTGTTCTTCTCTTTCACATCTTTCTTCTCTTTCTTAAGTTCTGGACAGTCTGGTTTGATATGACCAGGTTTTCCACATTCATAGCAATGAAATTTATTTGTTTTCTCCTTTCTTTGTTGTCTCTTTTTCCTGTTCTTCATAAAGCGAGAAAATTGTTTAACAAAAAGAGACATATCGGAATCTGAAAACTTACCTTCATTTTCACTTTCATCTTGTGAAGATTTTTCTGTTTTTAGAGCTATTGTCTTGGTTTGATTTTGTTCACCGTTCTTTAACCTTTGTAGCTCCATCTCATGTTCTCGCAATTTTCCAAATAGAGTAGCAATATTCATTTTTGTGAGATCTTTTGATTCCGTAATAGCAGTGACCTTTGATTGCCAATTCCTGTCTAAGGATTTCAAGATCTTTGTGTTCAACTCCTCATTGTCAAAACTTTTTCCTAATGCTTTTAAGTGATTTACTATATGTGTGAAGCGTGTCTAAAAATCCGTGATGTTTTCATTTTGCTGCATTTGAAACAATTCATACTCCTGGATGAGTGTGTTCTTACGTGCTCGCTTTACTTCATTTGTTCCTTCATGTGTTACTTCAAGAGTGTCCCATATTTCTTTTGTCGTCTAGCATTGTGAAACCCTGAAAAATTCATTACGAGTTAAGGCAAAAACAATAGCATTTCGGGCTCTTACATCATAATGGGCACGCTTGTTTTCATCTGGCGTCCATTGATCAAAAGTCTTTGGAACAGCTCCAGACTCCATTTTTCTCATCAGAATGTAAGGACCGTTGAGTACAACATCCCAAACACCATAATCTAGTGTTTGTAAAAATATTTACATTCTCGCCTTCCAAAACTGATAGTCTTCTCCTTCAAATAATGGTGGTCTGTTTATTGAAGTTCATTCCCTATAAACCTGATTCTGCATAGACATCTTGACATATTGTTTAGAAATATCTTATCTAACCTAGCTCTGATACCACTTGTTAGACAAATGGCATCTAGAGGGTGGTGAATAGATGCACAAATTAAAATAGATGTCAAATTGAAAATTTATTTGTGAGTCAATAATTTGTTTAAATACAGATAAAGTGGAAGCGATAATATAATCAGGAAAAGAGAAAGAGATAAGGGAAAGAGAAGAGCACACAATGATTTATACTGGTTCGGGTATAGCCAACCCTACATCCAGTTCCCAGACAACTTTTAACACAAGAGTGACTCCCAATTCACTATCTTTCAAATTCAGCTTACAAATTACAATCAACTCAGCAGAAGAACCAGTAAAAAGTAAACTAATTAAAAAGACAATCACCTCCTTAGAAACTCACTAAGGATGAACACCTCCCTAGAATCCCACTAAGGATAAACACCTCCTCTGAACAAATCAAAGGATGAAAAACACCTCCTTAGAATCCCACTAAGGATAAACACCTCCCTAGAATCACTAGGGATGAAAACCTCCTTTGAAAAAATCAAAGGATGAAAACACTTCCTTAGAATCTCACTAAGGATGAACACCTCCCTAGAATCACACTAGGGATGAAAAGTACCTCCTTTTCCACCAATACACAAAGGATGAAAGTAATAAAAATAAGAATAGTCACACCTGGGTAATAGAGACAACAAATTGTAGAAGCCTATAGAATGTCAATCTCCAAGAACAAGTGTGATTAACAATGAAAGCACAGAAGGCAGTAGAGAAGAGGGTTTTCTCAAAAGGTGTAAAATATCTCTGTTGCCTTGCTCAGAATTCTTTTCTCAAAACTGATTGAATGTAAATTGTATTTTCGAATTCTGTAATTGTGTGTTTTTTATTTTTCATCAAAACTTAATTAAATAGAAAAATAGCATCAGAAAATGGTCGTTGGACATTAATATTTTTGTGAATAAAAATCAGGATATATTCAAAAATATTTATTCTTCAAAACAAATATATTTTTCAAATTTGAATTGTCATAATTGATTATGTTACCAGTATAATCAATTATGACAAAAAAAATCATTTTTCCATTTCTGATGCATTATAATTGATTATGACAGTGAAAAATATCACGTTATGAATTTTATCACATTTGTGCTTTGGGGGCTTATGCATAATATTACTTCATCAACTTATACCTCCATATTCAGTATTCTAATACTCTATCTAGTCTTCAGGAAACATCTTGGGCTTGTTTGAATCATCATCTCTATCAAAAACATATCTTGGGCATGTAGGGAAATGTTTCACATTTTCACCAACGTCTTAAATTCAGTTTGTCCTTTAATTCATCTTGAATGGTGTTGACTTGAATGTAGTTGATTTGAATCATCATCAAAATCATCTCTTGGGAATGTAGGGACATTTCCATCAATCTCTCCCTCATTGCTTTCAATCACACTAAACATATTTTATACACCATATAAATGAGACTTTAAGTAAAAGAAAAAGTATAATTTTTTAATATGTATCTAATAACCATAATTAAATGAAAAAAAGAGCAAAACAAAATATTAACATAAAAGTAGTCTTTTAAAATAAATTATGATAATATCATGAGCTTCTAAAATTAGGAATGTTATTAGCTATATAGAAAAAAATTGTTGATATGACTGAAATGTACTTTTTAACTATTTATTTTATTTATCTATCTATCAATTCTAATAAAATATTTAAATATTTTGAACATATAAATATTTCATTTTTTATTATTTTCCTAAAAATATATTCTATTTTGTTTTTACTTCTTACTAATATATTTTTTTAACCATAACTTTAATAGCCCAAAATATAATAATATGAAAGATAATTAACAAAAAAGAATCTCCTTCTAATCAACGGTTGGCCTAATTATGTTAACATTATTACATAATAAACTTTTTATGTATGTTATTTTAGGTTTTTTTTTTTAATGTTTGATCATGGTTCAATGTCAATGTGAGAGAAGTAAATTTCACTTCAGGATTTCATTATAAGTTAGTAACGTTTTTCGGGAAATGAGCTTCAAGTAGATATTAGACAAAACATCAATGAGTTATGTGTCGAGTATGCTTTCAAGATACCACTTTCCACCGGTGACTTTCTCAGAGTGTGTTCGAAATTCATGCCCATCAACACCTTCTTGGACTTGTTTTGGATTTCACAACCTCTTTTATGAGTCTTGGAGATTAGTAACTTGATGGATTTCTTCAAGAATGTTAGTTTCTTAGTTTCTCTTTTAATGTCCCTTGCCTTATCCTCCTTCTCCTTCTCCTTCTCCTTCTGTCTGCGACATGTCGCCCTTGTATTTCCCATGCAAAATGCTTATCATTTTCTTATGACATTGAATTTGAAAATTGTGTATAAGAAACATTCAAATGCCAAATAAGATTTTAGTATCAAAAGGAATAAAACCAAAACATGCAAGCAAAACATATCATGTAATTATTATCACAATATCTAAAGAACGCCTAGAAACATGATGTTAAGCTATGAGTCACAAAAAATTTCACACAATTGTTGTCGTCATTGTTCAATAAAAATCCCTTGTGCGTTCGAGGAAGATAAAGTACTAGAGGAAATATAAAACAAATTTTATGTTTGACCATTATCACTACATATTTAGTATGTCAAATAATAACTAACCTTATGAGAAATTGTTGAGTTAAAATAATATTTTGCATTAATGTAATACCTATTACTTATGTTACTTGTTCACTGGAAAGGGAGCTTATAATCACATTTGCAACTATACACAAAAACAAAACAGGGTAAGTTAGTAATTCAATTGGAATCATAATCATAATATATGAATTTTTTATAAAACACTATTTCATATACAATATTCATTTCATCACATCAAGTGTTCATACATATAACATGCTCACATGGACACTATTAAAATAACACACACTTAATGAATTTTGAAAAACTTGATATTTAATTCAAACTCAAATATATCAAATATATATATATATATATATATATATATATATATATATATATATATATATATATATATATATATATATATATATATATATATCACAACGACTTCCTCAAGTGTATATTACAATATTACATACACTCTCATGTGACATGATGATTTTAAAGAACTTACTTTTTATTGACAAATACATGCTCCCATGTCAAGTAAAAGTAATCCCCTTCAACTCTTACTATCTAATTTTTTCATCCATGTGATTACAATAATTGATGGAGTTAGAATATCTCTTAATGAGTGACAAGTTATCACTTAAATGAATTATGTAAATAATAAAAAATTTATAAAAGATTTTAAATGAGTTTCCTAGGCACCAAAAATTTATAATTTTATTATAATTAAACTAAATTAATTTTTTTCATTTAATATTGACACATGCATCAATCATTTTACAACACAATGTTAACACAAAATTCAAATTATACCACCAAGACTTAAGTTTTCACGCAAATCCTAAATTTTAGGAAATATATCATTCATGTTGGTTAATAATTCAGTAATTAATAATAATCAATGTTTAATTATGTTGAGATGTTAGCTTAGACCTAAGTAACTACTGTTTTCTTTTTATGTTATAAATACAGTACCAATGTACATATTGATATAGTGTGTAAAGTAATAAATGGCAAAAAATGGGTTGTAAGGAAACATGCTAATGTTACATAATAAGAATTTGAATAGTCATGACAATTGGTGTGTGAAGATGAAGGTGTGAAGTCTTTTTTTTTTTTTTATCACATTGTTAACCATATTTTAAGAGATTACTAATTTCTATTAAGTCTTGACAAAAGTAAGATATAAGATAAATGTTTATACATGTATATATATAAAGATGTGAACTTTACAAGTTTACATTGCTTTTATATCATAAACAATTAATAAAATTGACAAAAAAAAAATTCTTCTAACAGTGGTTGAATGATATATGTCTTCCATCTCGATGCTTTCATCTATTTATATAGATATTTTAGTTGTAACATGCACAAAAAATAACATGAAGGAAGTGAGAACAACTATCATCATCTTATAATGATATAACATATTTTTCAACTTTCTCAACATATTTCATTTATGAAGATTTAAATTAAATTTGTAGTGACTAGTCAGAATAAATGAGTTCAATTTTAATCATTGTCTCAGTGATATTTACCCATTTCAATCCCCAAGGTTCAATCTTCATCTACAATATCATCAAATCTTCATAAATATATATTATTATTTAAAAACAATCAAATAATATAAATATAAATCAATAAATAGGACCAATGCATAACTGGAGATAAAATAAAATAAACAAACGAGAATCGATACGTAATCGGAGATAAATAAATAAGACCAGTGCAGGATCGAAGATAAATAAATAAACATAAGGCAGGATCAGTATGAAACTAGAGATATATAAATAAACGTAAAGTAGATCAGTAAGTAGTTAAATAACTAACAAAATACATAAAATGAGGTTAGAGACACCTCACTCCACAACTATAATTAAAATAAAATAGATAAAATGATAATAGTCTCATCCCCTACCTTAATAATTGAAGATGTTGCACCAAAAATTTTCCTTTAAAATTATTTTTCTCTCTTCCTCTCCCTCTCCCTCTTTCTCTCCTTCCTCTTCCTTTCTTCTTTCTTTCTTTCCCTCTCTCTCCTCTCTTTCCCTTTCTTCTCTTCCATTTCTCCCTTTCCTCGTAACCCCTATTTATAATCATGATTAATTTTTTTTTTTGCATTTAATGTAAGAGATAAGGTTATATTTTATTATTATTATTATTCTAATAATCATTATCTCTTAAAGAGATAAGGCCACTTTTATATATTTTTATTTTATTTTATTATATTTTTTTAATCATTATCTCTTAAAGAGATAAGGTCATGTGTGTTTTTTTCTTTCAATAATCAATTTTTTTTAATTAATTAACTAAATTTATTTTAATAATTAATAAATATCTCTTTTTTTAATTTAAATTATGATTATTATTTTAATAAAAAAATTTAATAGTTTAACAATAATATATATATATATTATTTTCATTTATTTAGTTATTTATTTACATAAATGAGTCTTTTTTTAAATTATTTAAATTACCTAAAATATTATTTAATACATTGTAAAAAAAAATACATAATCAATTTTGGGATGTTACGTAAGGGAATCTTTGGATTCTATGAAGTCTTGGATATTGTTCTGACTAGATACGACAAGCTACAGGAGAATCTCACTGAGGCACAACGTGCTATGTTTCGAGATGCAAAAAAATGTGATTGTAAAGTCTTGATTTGTATTCATCAATGTGTTGATGAAAGCAATTTCGAAAAGATTTCATTGGCGAAAATAGTGAAAGAAACTTGGGATACATAGAGTTACAAAGGAGTACAAAGGTTGAATACAGTACGACTTTAGACCTTTTGTTCTCAGCATGAGTTGCTAAAGATGAGAACTTAAGAATATTCAATAATAGTTTACAAGATTGTTCTCTATCACAAACTTGATGAAATTGTGTGGTGAAATTTTAAAAGAACGAGCGGTGGTTGAGAAGGTGTTAAAGACTCTCGATGCAAGATTCAATATGATTTATGTCACGAATCTAGGAATCCAAGAATATGGATTTGCTAAAGTTGGAAGAATTACAAGGGTCATTGGAGACTCATGAGCAACAATTGCGTGAAAGAACAGGAGATAAATCCAGTTTAGAACAAGCCTTATTGTCTAAGAAAACTAAGAAGAATGATGGTTATCGAGGCAAATTAAACAAGAGAGGTCGCAGGAGAGGTTTTAAAGGTAGAAATAATGGAGTTCAAGGTTCAGAAAACTCAAGAAGAGGAGGACAACATGAGAGTTCCTCACAATCAAGAGGTTCCAGGCAGAAATTCACAATGGAGAGATGGTCGATCTGGTTTTGGTGGTGATAAAAGCAATGTACACTGCTATAATTACAACAAATATGGTCATTATACAACTGATTATTGGTGCAAAGGTTTAGGAAATAAAGAAGAAGAAGCAAATATGGTGTAAAAGGAAGACTCCAAGGATGACCTTTAGTGGATGGTGACCATGACAAAACTATAGAAAATATATGAAGAATCTTGGTACTTAATATAGGTTGTTCCAATCATATGTCATTTTAGAAGAGTTGGTTTATCAATTGGATGAAAAAATTAAAATTAAGATGAAGTTTGCAGATAATTCAAAAGAAAATTGTGTAGAAAAAATAAAGATTTTAACTAGAAGAAGAGATAGAAAATCTATAATAAGTTTATATGTACTCCATGTTCCAACTATGAAGCACACTTTATTGAGTATCAATCAACTTCTGCAAAAAGGGCATTTAATGATTGAAGATTGAAGTAGCAAATGTTGATAATTCTCGATAAAAGTAGAACATTGATTCTGAAGGTCCCTCTGAGCAACAACAGGACCTTTAGAGTTGATATTTCAAATTGAATCATATGTGTTTTGTAGCTTCAGTTTTTTATGTCAACTGGTTATGACATTTGAGATATGGTCATCTAAATTTTGATAGCCTAAGTCAACTAGCAGAGAAAGAGATGGTGATAGGATTGGCTCGCATTCAGAAGAGTGAAGTTACCTGTGAAACTTACATGATTGGAAAACAAGCAATAAATTCCTTCAACGTGCATATCGAAACCAGGAGTAAAGGAGTATTAGAAGTAATCTATATTAATGTGTGGACTTTTCGAAGTATCCTCACTTAGTGGAAACATGTGTTTTGTTACATGTATCGATGATTTAAGTAAAAAAAAATATGACTATATTTGCTTAAGATAAAATCAGAAGTTTTTAATTGTTTGGTTGAGTAAAGTGGCAAAGTTATTAACATTTTGAGATTAGATGGTGGTGGGAGTATAATAATAATGAATTTGCATCATTCTACAAAAAAAAAGGGAATTATACATGGAATTGTGCCCTTATATACACCACAACACAATGGTGTTGTTGAAATAAGAAATCAAACAACTCTTAACATGATCAGAAGTGTGTTGAAAAGAAAAAGTTTACCACATTCCTCTTGGGGTGAATCGGTTGCCACTGTAGCTTATATTTTGAACCAATGCCTAACTAAGAGAGTTAAGGAGAATATACCAAAAGAAGTTTGGTAAGAGAAAAATCCTAGTGTAAAGCATTTAAAGGTGTTTGGTTCAATTTGTTGAAGACATGTTGTCAATGAAAGAAGAAGAAAGCTCGACGACAAAAACGAGAAACTAATTTTGATTAGATATCATCCAATAGAAGCTTATAAGTTGTATGATCCTATTATAAAGAAGATTACTATCAACAAAGATGTTATAT